CTTACTTAAAGAGTAATTTATTGACACTCCTAAGAGAACGCGTTAGTTCACAGAATATTATTCATCAAAATGCTACAAAAATGGCAGTTTTATTACGATCCTAATCTATAAAGCTTTTTGTCTATCTTTAAAGCTATGGTTATCTTGAAGCGCTTAGTCTCATATTCATTGCTTTTATAATTGGACAACATAGAACAATGGGAGATTTACGAGTTTATTAAGAACCAAAATTAATGTAATCCAATATCACCCTTTGTTGAAAGCCACCTACAAAAGAATTGCATGAGGATGTGAAATGAATAATCTTTCGTGTTTTTCTCCTCTTGAAATCACTATAGTGCCTTTCCAGAGCATAATAAATGGCAGTATGTTATGAAAAATTAATACAAGTCTTACCAGGTAAATAATTTCAGTAGATTTTTGGGCACTGGCACAGTTTATTTCTGTCAAATGTTTTCACAGAGGAATCCTTTATTTGAAGTGATCTTTACAGTCCAGACTTGAAAAAGAAAGTCTTAAAATCAACAACTTAGTTCTTGTTCTACAGGCAACAATATAGTCATTAAACCCAAACTCATTTGGTTTTTTTCATACCATTAAAGACAGACTTGTGCATGAAGCAATGTTTCTAAGGTGGGAAACTAAAATTTATACCAGAAAAGGTAGGGCAGTTCAGCACCAGGAAATAAACCAGAAAAAGTTAGCTCACTTTACAAGATCTAAATCATGCTCCACACTAGCCTCATTAGTCCTTTAAAGATCAACTGAATGATTAATGCTGAGCAGGAGTCAAATCTTCAAGGATAAGAGCAATGAAAAAATGGAAGCAATGTGTCCCAGTGATGTGTCACAGGGTTTAAACCAAGTAGTCAAACAGATGAAGGGATTTTGATGCTTCCTTGCCATGGACAGAACTAGTTTCTCAAGTCCTACATCCTTTCTAGGTTGAGATGAAGTTGGAAGAGGTTGAAAAATATTTCACAAATTTCTGTGTGAAAATGTGCTTTGATTCTGCAAAACTGACTCAGAAAATGTCTTTCTTTTACCACCTTGGCCTCCTGAAACCTACTTCAAATCAGAGGACCAATTTTCTATTGCAGTACTTTATCATTGTTCAGCTATATCATTAATTACGACATTCCCTTCTCTGCCTGGCCCTCAAAGTGCTTTTATAAAGATAAAGAAAGAAAATGGCACTATGCCTATTTTACAGTCAGAGAAACTGAGGCACAAAATGACATAACATTACTTTCTCATTGCAGACTGGACCTTGAGATGAGACCAATGCAAACTATTAAGAATCATCGTTGCCTGCTACAAGGAAAAGTCTAGTCCTCTCAGCTGAGCAGCCACCAGCGACACAGACTGATCTTTGTGTTTGGTTCTGGTACGTGTGTTGTCTCTTCAGCTGTAAATTTGTTCTCCTGACTGGGTGAACTGTGCACCAAAGAGCTGTCAGGCAGTCAGTACCTGGTCACATACATGACCTGTCACATGTCTGGGTTACACCACTCCCCGAGAAGTCAATGGTAAAGCAGCACTTGACTTTACTAAAAGCCTCTTTGGAACACTTTTTTCTGCGTTACAAGAAATTGTCATCTTCAGTTATCTGCCTTCTCCTATCTAACCCACAAACAACAGAGCCATCCATGCCCATTTGCTGTGTTTTGTGTTCCTGGGAATGCTGACCATCTCTCTGCTAGCTCAACCAGCTCTTAGCTTGCTCTGTAGCTTCTGGGCTTTGTTGTAATGCCAAGTAAAAAAATGCATCAAGCTATTTGGAATAGACCTTCAGAGAGATATTGAGAGTTTCAGGAAGGGAACCAGAAGGCAGAGGTGTAATAAATTAATCCTTTAGTTTTAATGTATTTAATGTGATGTTTCTGATGTCTCTTATTCTTACCTCACTTTCCTGCACCATGAGCTTACAATCTTCTCATTTCCAGGGTGAACAAACAAGATGATGACTTCTGTGAGAAAGATGGGAGACATCTCTTCTGCAAGACAGTTCAGCTCCCCACCTCTGGAGAGCTGGGAAGAACGATGGGAAAGGCTCAGCATGCAAACTTGCCATGCCTCAGCTCCTCCCTCCCCACCAGTAGTATTGGCAGTAAGCACCAGCTGCTACCGGGCCAGGACATTTAGATCCTTTCCCTGCTGAAAGTCACAGGCAATATGCTGGATTGGTGCCAAAGGCTCCACTGACCTCAGTGGCCACTGAAAACCAGATCCTATGGGATCTTCTTGCATTTACACCTTGCAGAATATCTGTCTGGTTCTGGGAAATGCCTCAAAGGGGAACTATTGCTTCAAGCTCCCTCAGGCAAATCATACCTAAGATTGTTTATCAAATAAAACTTTATTCATTGGCTTAAAGAATAACTAAATATTATTGTTGATTTCTCTGCTTTATTGCAGCTAATGGCAGGGCAGGATGTAATTTTTTTCTTTCCTTGGGTCTTGTTAGCTCTTTTGCATTTCCCCATAGATGTTTTCTTATAAAGAATAAAAAATATAATAAATAAATTGAAAAAAAAATGCTTGTAGACCCAAAAGAAAGAATGCATCTATTATAAAATAAAATCTCTTCTAGTAGCTATTAGAATGCATTAAAAATATTCCCAGGACTCTCCCCTCCAGTTATGTTGCAAAAGCCGTGCAAATAATTGTGGCTAAGTGCACTACAGTGACAGTCAATATTGTACTTCCCAAGCTAGTACTCATTATTCTTTATGGAACTCATGCATTTTGTGAAAGATCAAAAGATTTACATATCATATGGAGTGCTTTAGGGAGTGACTTGCTGTGCACTTTAAATGCACAATGTTCCACAGCCATTTAAATACAGATTTCATTTCTGTCTTCTGTGTGATATTAAATTTGAAAAAAAGAGGGAGGAACAGACAAAATCAACTTGGGTACCTTTGTTCACATCATGAAATACAATTTTAATTTGGTTTAGAGATAGAAGTGTATTATTTTTATAGGATGTTATTGAATAATCTTCTAGGCTCAGCACTGGCCTTTGCTCATGAAAGAGATGAAGGAAATAATTTCTTTTTATGACCGCTACAGGTGAAATCATCTGTTCTTCCATGCCCTGAGGAAGGGGACAGACTCCAACATACCACTTGGCCTCCTTCCACCTTCGGCTTCTCTGCAACATCCCCCAGTTAGTCTGGTCTGCACTTGTGGGTAGAAAGGAGCAGCAAATGAAGAAGAAGCTGCGACCGACTTCCTTAGTACAAGAAAGAAAGAAAATGCCATGATTTCTGTGCTGCCCTAGACTGCAGGAATCAAGGCAGACCACTGTGCCGCAGCCTGACGTGTGCCCTTGGGTGAGCCACTGCACACAGGTTACTCTGTGGAACACAGAGACAGAAGTATCTTTTTTTTTTACCTTGCCAGAATGTTGCGAGGATAAAGAAATACATTAAGGACAACTGAGTGGACAGTTACTATGGTAATATGACCACATGGCTGTGTATCGAGGCTTTGAGGCTCTGCCACACCTACATTCTACATATTCATGCTCCTGAGATTTGCCTTTTAGCATGTACCTAACTGTGAAAAGATCAGCTGCTTGGACTAGTCTCAGGCCTTCCATATACTTTCTCTGCCCTGGTGGTTGTGACATGGGACCAAAGATGGTGTGTCAGGCAAGGAACTCTGCCTTGGACATTTCCCATTTGAAGGTGAGATGGCATCTACAGACAGCCTGAGCTACGTTCCTGGGAGACCTGGGAGTACACCAAGGTTGGGACCACTCCTGAAAGTAGATTTTCAGCATGATCTTTGTGACCAGAGAAGAAGCATACATGAACACCATTTCTGTGTGGTTCCTAAAGGAAGGATTAAGAGCAGTCTGTGTCATTCTGGGTCTGCTCACCAGCAATGGGTGGAGTTGAGCATCACCCAACAAACATATCTATACTAACAATGTTGAGGAAATGTATTCCTCTGCTGAAGGAAAAAAAAAAAATCTGAACAAGTAATTAGCCCTTCCTTTCTATGGAAGAATGAAAGGGTTTCATGAATAGGAAGTCTGCCCAATTTGTTTGCTTCTGGTACATTCTGCATTATTTTCCAAATGAAGCAAATGGAAAACCTTTTTAATGAAGCATAACTATGTTGTGATTAAGGCTTATTCTGTCTAAATATTGACTTGGATAACATTTTCTCAAGATGAACAGACCATAACCCATGAATCTGCCATCAAATTCAGGGAGATTAATAGGAAAGATGAATTTTCTGGTTGTCTGAAGAGATTTGACATAGCCAAGGCAACAGTCAGAGACTTCTCACTATTTATGAGATCAGCCAGAGGGTTTTCAAGAGGCTGTAGCTTTCTTGTTCCACTGGACTTCTGAAAGCTTAGGATAAAAATAGCTCTGTCCTCTCTCTGGTTAGCACAGAGATAGGAACAGAGTGGCAGGAAATTCTGTAAAACAACCCCATTGTCTTGGAGCAAAGACTACCCAAGCAAGCCCTATTGAAGTACAACTGCTGGGTCTTTGACCTGCACCTGCAGGTAAAATCCGAATAAATGAGGCATATGGACACTAATCCTGGCCTAAACAACCCAGAAGAGGGGCAGATTGACTGTTTTTTTTTGGGAAAAGAGAAGGGTAATTAGAGCAAAGGGTGTTTGGAAATTTAGCTTAAAAGGGAAAAATAAATTGTCCTGCACATAGTTGGTCTTCTGCCAGCTTGTACACTGTGATATTCTCTCTCATTGCAAAAGCACAGATTCGTGTTTCATTAATAAATGAACTTTATTCTCAAGAAGGGTCCTGTTGTGCGGGAAGGTGTTTAAATGATTTTTGGTTTAGACATGGTTACATGCATTACAGTCAGAGACCCTAGTGCAAACAGGATCCTAAGAAGGAGAAAATTGACTGCTACTGCTGAACCCAGGATGCTGCCACAGGTATAACCTGCTGCTGCGCTGGGGAGAACGTCAAGGGGAGAACACTGCCACTCCTCTGAGAGGCCTACTTTCAGTGGCCGTAGGTCAGCATTCTTGTGAGGCGATCTTGCATGTCCATGAACTGCCTCACTGCCTCAGCTTGGGCATCCGGATCCTGTGCCAGATGCTGGAAGAGGTTGAATGGCTCGGCTCTTTGCAAGGCTGGGGGCAAGATGATCTCCTCAGGAATCTTCTCATTCCCAAAGAAGAAGTGGTCGAGGCGTTTCTCCTCCAAGCAGTGGCACAGGTACCGCATGATGTCATCCAGCCTTAGCAGGAAACGTGTCTTGTGCCAGCCTGACAGGGGTGTGGTGTTCAGGAGGTGCATCACCACTGTCTTCAAGGTGTAGCTGGAAAAGCCTGTGCCCACCAGAGTGCGGGCGCAGAGCTGCAGGCATCTGAGGTGGAAGCTGCCGTCTGGGGCCTGCCTAGTCATCAGCTCAAAGAACTTTGCCTCTGCCACAGCACAGCTCAATGTCCAGGTTGTGCTTGGGGTGAAGACAGCCTCACTAGCCTGGCTGCTCAGGAAGATGTCCGAGTCGCCTTGCTGCACGCCCAACATAATTTCAATGATGGCTTCCTTCTCTGCTCTTGCCATCTTGAATTTGCAGGAGCGGCTGCAGGGCAGCATAGTTAAATGGCACTGGTGTGAATGAGACATAAGCACGCAGCATGTTTTCACCAGCTCATGAAGCCTGCAAGCTGTTTTCTCCACATCTAGGTAGGAGCCGGTGCAGAGGGCCTGTAGGAGGCTGGGGCCCTGATGCCTTCTCAGCTTCTCTTTGTCGTGGTGGAGGAAGCACAGCATGTCCCCCACCAGCTGCTCTGCCAGGCATGTACACTGCAGCTCCACGCGGATGCGGAAGTTCCTCTCTGGCACCTCCCCCGGACTGCAGAGCTCCGGGAGAAAGGCGTGGCCAGACGGGGGGCCCAGGGGCACAAGCACTTGATAGACGATGTTTTCTTCATAGGGACTCCAGCCTTCATGTGCGCTGCCTATGCCAAAGCATGGTTCCAGCACTGGGAAGGAGCTACCTGACAAGACTTGTCTGGCAACAAGGATAAAAGCATTCACAAGGCTCCTCACAGATTCACACTTTGTGAGCACGTTCTGATTAGGCCATTGTATGTGCTCCTCAAAATGCCTTGTCAGGTCCTTTGCGTATTCACTGACTTCTCCCTCTTCGTTCTGCTCCTTCCACTCTTCCTCTTCTCTACTGCTGCTGCTGGAGCTGTCCTCTTCACTGCTGCTGCCCTCCTCATGGCTCCTTCTCCTGAGGCACCAGCAGAGCCAAAGAATCAGGAGGAGCAGCATGCCAGCAATCGCCCAGAATTGCCAGTGCTGCAAGTCAGCAAAGAACAGGCCTCTCCAGGCCACGGGAGTTTGCTCCTTGCTCCTCTGCTCCTGGCTCTTCTGCTCCAGCTCCTGGAGCAGCCGAGTCATCTCCCAGATCAGCTGCTTGTTACGGTGCTCCATGCGGTCACGTGTGGCTTCATCCATCTCATCACCGACGACCTGCACATTCAGGATGAGCTGTTGCAGAATCCAGAGTGAGAGGTTTGTGACAGCCATGGCCTGCAGAAGAGAGAAAGAATTCAGTGGTGCTGGGAGGGAGGGAAGGAGGAAGGGAGCTGGTGGCGGGGGGAGTGGATGCAGGAGCCGCAGGGAGCTGGGGACAGGCAGGAGAGGGAACGAGGCAGCTGGGAGGCAGCAAGGGCTGCACCCAGGCCCGGTGCCAGCAGCAGCGTGCCCTGCCCAAGGCGCTCGCAGCCAGGGCCTCGATGCAGGGTGAGCACCCACCCCCGGGGGCCCAGGTTTCTGCCCCGGCCCTTGTCCAGCCCATCCTCCCCCCTGCGTGCGCACTCACTGCTGTCCCAGGCTGTACTGGGCCAGTGCTGCCTGCTGGCACCCTCATATCCATCCCCCACTGTGATGTCACAGGCGCTGGGGGTGCATCATTCCTGCCTGACAGCCCCAGCCTTTGCCCCCCGCCCAGTTCAGCGACTCACAGCTGCCCTGGTGCTCTGGCTACAGCTTGGCAGTAGTCAACTTTGTTCAGAGAAGATTGCATGGTGCTGTATTTTCTAATAAATATATTCTGCCTGCCAATGGAAATATCATCATCATAGAATATCCCGAGTTAGAAGATGTCTGAGTAGCCTAGCTGTACGCCAGACATCATCTCAACGAACATGGTTCTCTGAGAGACATCTGTGGTCTGCCCTTTGCAAGAGCAGCTGGAGGGCAGCCCATTTATGCTGTAGCAGTGTAACAGAGGCACCAACTTACTTCTGTGGCCTTTTCTAGACACTCTTTGCCATGCCTTAGTGATGCACAGGTTTGTTGTGACTGAAGTGCAGGACCTGGCACTGATCCTTATTGAATCTCATATTGCTGGCCTTGACCTATTGATCCTACCTGTCCATATTTCTCTGCAGAGTCTTCTGATCTGCAGTGAATAACACGGTGTTCTCTGCAAACTAGCCAAGGCTGCAATTGATTCCCTCATCCAGCTCATTGATAATAATGTTAACAGAACTGGCCCCAATACTGAGCCTTTAGGAACACCAGTTTTCACAAGCTGCCAACTAGATTTATCTCCATTCACCACCACTCTTTGGGACCAGCCTTCCGGCCATCATGAAAGATTGTCTTTGAAAACAGAAATTCCTCTTCCGTCTGTGAGCTCTCTCATTCCTCATCAGGTATTGCCAGTGCTATGGATGGTGTATAAGTCCTCCAGAATAGGTACAATTCATGTGGAAATACTTTCATATGTGGAAATATTTTCATATAGTATTCTGCCATTGTATTTCTATATTAATTGGCCCACCTGAAGTTTCAAATTTCAGCTCCATTCCCATTATAAACTTCCCAAATCTAAGCTTTGCAGTTTCAAGGATTCCTAGATGGACATGCAGGAGAAGTTGCAGGTTAGCTAACTGTAAAAGATAAAATTATTATTCTCTAGGAAAACAAAACAAACAAACCAAACCAAAACAACAAAACACCACTAACAACAGGAGAGACACAAAATAGTAACTCAGCAGATCTCTCAAGCTAATTGCCAAAAACCTTTACAGTGATGCTTTGTCTTCCTACCAGCTGCAGATCCCAGCCCTTATTCTGGCCTCTACACCTTTGCACTATAATGAACTAGAAATAAAAGAAATACAGAAACATAAAGGCTGAAATTAAAGCGGAAGAGCAACAGTAACATGGCAATAGTGATGTTAGTGCTTAAGTATTCCCTGGGAGCATGAGCTGGCAAATATAGTGGACACCCAGATATTTGAAATGCAGCCAAATAATTTGGCACATCTCTAACTGGCACAAAGCAGTCTTAGTAAAGCTTCCTACTGCTCCTGGCACGTTTACAGCTGTCTTTCTTCATCTTGCTCTTCCCACTGCAACAGCTACTCAACAGGTGTTTCTACAGACATAGTGTGTTTGGCAGCTGTAACCCTTCAATATTATCGTTGAAATACATTTTTCTCCCTCTCAACAGCATCACTTGGGTCTGTTGCTCAGAGGCCGGCATGACAACAGGGACAGCTTACCAACTGGATTTGGGAAAAGGGGACTGTGTGTTTGGGCAGCCAGATATTCAAGTCCATAAAACAGTTGGAGAATATCAATGCTTAGCATGACCAAGCTGGAGTGGTGCTTTGTTTATCTGGAACCCATCTTCTGCTCACCTGGCTCTTCCCTGGTTTTGATGTTCTTGCCCCTTGGTCCCACACACATTTTCTTAATTGCAAACAAGTCCCCATGCCTTTGGGCTCCTTATGATTTTTCGTAAGTGTTGAGTGTTTGCTCTGATCATGATGGGTTTTCTTTGCCCAACCCTACTCAGCCTACATTCCAAATGTGCTTAGAGAAAAGATAGGAGAGCTCAGATCCTGGAGGAAAACTGGGAACTGTATGATTTTCAGAAAGTCTGACCCAGGGAGATTCAAAGGTGAATAGTGTTCATGAGAACATTAAAATTAATAACTGTCTTGTTTTCTTCTTTTTCAGCTTACCTCTGCAGTTTTTTGGCCTTGTGTAGCCTTTTCTGTTTTCTGATCTCATACACACCAGAGCAGTCTCAGTACTTTCAGTGACGCAGTCTGGTTTTTACTGAATGTTGTCTTTTTTAGGTCTCTGGTACATAGTATACATCAGAGAAACAATGCACAACGATTTTCTCTTAGGAATTAGTGGAAGGCCATAAAATTTTTTTTTTTTTAATATCTTTTATTGATACATAAACACATGTACACATATGAAGCCAGAAGAATGGCAGTGCTGAAAGGTCCATTTGACTCATCCTCCCTCCAATAGCTATAGAAAGCAAATGGCTAATGGCAGTTTACAAACCAGACTGATGTTTCCATAGCACATTTTCCCAGAGTGTAAAACTTTGTGACTGAGAAACCTCAAAAGCAAGAGGAAGATGGTGCTTAATAGCTCACACACAACTTTATTTGTTTGAAGGAGCTGGCGAATGAAGTTGCTAAGCCACTGGCCATCATATTTGAGAAATCATGGCAGTCAGGTGAAGTTCCCGACGACTGGAAAAAGGGAAATATAACAGCCAGTTTCAAGGCGAAAATGGATGCCCCAGGGAATTACAGACCAGTCAGTCTCACCTCTGTGTCTGGCAAAATCTTGGAGCAGATTCTCCTGGAAGGCATGCTAAAGCACATGAAAATCAACAAGGTGCTTGGTGACAGCCAGCATGGCTTCACTAAGGGGAAATCCTGCCTGACCAATTTGGTGGCCTTCTAGGATGGGGCTACAGAACTGATGGACAGGGGTAGAGCAGTTGATGTCATCTACCTGGACTTGTGCAAAGCATTCGACACTGTCCCATGCAACGTCCTTGTCTCTAAATTGGAGAGACATCAATTTGATGGATGGACCACTCGGTGGATAAAGAACTGGCTGGATGGCCACACACAAAGAGTTGTGGTCAATGGCTCAATGTCTGGCTGGAGACCAGTAACAAATGGTGTCCCTCAGGGATCAGTGTTGGGACCGGTCTTGTTCAACATCTTTGTCGCTGACATGGACAGTGGGATTGAGTGCACCCTCAGCAAGTTTGCCGATGACACCAAGCTGTGTGGTTCGGTTGATACGCTGGAGGGAAGGAATGCCATCCAGAGGGACCTCGACATTCTTGTGAGGTGGGCTGATGGCAACCTTATGAAGTTCAACCATGCCAAGTGCAAGGTCCTACACGTGGGTCAGAGCAATCCCAGGCACAGCTACAGGTTGGGCAGAGAAGAGATTCAGAGCAGCCCTGAGGACAAGAACTTGGGGGTGTTGATCGATGAGAAAATGAGCATGAGCTGGCTTCAGTGTGTGCTCGCAGCCCAGAAAGCCAACCATATCCTGGGCTGCACCAAGAGGAGAGTGACCAGCAGGTCAAAGGAGGTGATCCTGCCCTTGTACTCTGCTCTTGTGAGACCTCACCTGGAGTATTGTGTGCAGTTCTGGTGTCCTCAACATAAAAAGGACATGGAACTGTTGGAACAAGTCCAGAGGGGGGCCACGAGGATGATCAGGGGACTGGAGCTCCTCCCGTATGAAGACAGGCTGAGGAAGTTGGGGTTGTTCAGCCTGGAGAAGAGAAGGCTGCATGGAGACCTCATAGCAGCCTTCCAGTATCTGAAGGTGGGGGTATAGGGATGCTGGGGAGGGAGTATTCATTAGGGACTGTAGTGATAGCACAAGGGATAATGGGTTAAAACTTAAACAGGGGAAGTTTAGATTGGATATAAGTAAAAAGTTCCTTACTGTAAAGGGTGGTGAGGCACTGGAATAGGTTGCCCAGGGAGGTTGTGAATGCTCTATCCCTGCCAGTGTTGAAGACCAGGTTGGATGAGGCCTTGGGTGATATGGTTTAGTGTGAGGTGTCCCTGCCCACAGCAGGGGGGGTGGAACTTGATGATCTTAAGGTCCTTTCCAACCCTAACTATTCTATGATTCTATGATTTTCATTAATTTATCTGCTTACATTTTGAACTGATACAACCTTAGAGCATCCACCAGATCCTGAAGGAAGGAGTTCCACCACTTTACAACATTTTGTGCAGTGAACTACCTTTTCCTGTTTGTTTTGCACCTATGACCCATCAATTTTGTATGATGTCCTTAAGTCTTGTATTGGAAGAAAGTTGGAAAGGGTTTCTCTTCCTCCCCATTTCTACAGCAGCCATGATTTCACCATTATGATTTTACTGGTATATGTCATCCTTCCATTCTCTGTTTTCCACAAAGTTTTTGACACTGGCCTATAAGTGTGGAAATGTCCCAGTGGATCTTTACTCTCTTACCTCCCCAGAACATCTCACCCCTCTGAAGTGTCAGAATAATATTTCTAGCCCATCTTTTCTCTACCCTAATATTTCTGTTTGTAGGCACAATTGTTAAACTGCAACTAGGTCAATTAAAGAACATCTCTCATGGTATCTCTGCTACAGAATAAAACAGTGCATTAAATCGTTGTCCAGAGCATCACAAGCACTAACTTTCTGATTAGGGCTGGAAGGCCGCAAGGCTGTTAAAGCCCTCTTTCCATTCTCCCCAATGTTGCCATTAATATGTAAAAAGCTTAAGCTTGCTAAAGGGATTATTTCCCATCCTATCTGATTGTAAACTGGCATTTCAATGATTACATGTATCTTTTTGTCATTTTCTCGTAAAACATCTTATTCTTGAACAGCATAATTGGCCTCTTAGTAATGTTTAATGAATGATTAAATCAGCATAAATGCAATATACAGCTCTACTTGGAAAGCATGTTTACAACCTCCAGAGCCACAGAAACATATTTTTGTAACATAGATTTAAGTCCTTGTAATTTTCTAATTTGGGCTTTCTGGTATATTTCACATTAAGTACATGGGAAAGTAAATATG